GTAGACGCGCAGTTTCCATCTTGTTAGGAACATCTTTATGGGTGTCTCCTCATCATGTACGAAAGCTTTTATAGTTTACCTTCTGGTGGAACTGCTAGCCTACAGGAACATGAGTACCCAGCCTTGCTAGACTCACAACCAAATAGGACAGACTAGGAATTAGAAACCGATGTCCTTGCCATGGGCGATTGACAGCAAGCGAATCTCTCTAGTCTCACCTTTGGACAGCTGCCAGAGGAATTAGCCAAGAAAAGAATCATGAAACTGAACCTTGCTGGGTGGTTGTGGTCCAAGCTTATAATCCCAGCACTTGGGAGGCAGAGGTGGGAGGATCTCTGTGGGTTCAAGGCTAGCCTGGTCTACAGAGAGATTTCCCAGGACAGCCAGAGCTACACACAGAGAAACCCTGTCTCAAAAAACAAAACAAACAAACAAACAAAAAACCTTCACAAAGCAAATGAACGGGCTTTCAAAACTGATCACTTTCCCAATACTATAACCTAAGCAAAAGCTTCCTGCCCCTAAGAGTTCTGTGGCCATTTGCATTCTTCTGGTAACTTCTCTGCTCTGGCAGCCTGGCTACTTGGCTGCAGTCTTGAGGGTGGAAGCTTGCATTAGACTGCTCGTGCCAAATAAGGAGCTTCTTCTCCGGAAATGACAGTCCTGTGCCTGGACCAGCAAGCCATCTAGAGGATTTGCTCACCAGCTTGTCTTTGTGGCACCTGCCTCGGAGCTTCCAGGGAGCAAGACTTCCTGGTGGACTTGCTGGAAAATACTTGAAGGAGATGCCAATAAACTTTTATCGGCAGGGGCAGAGAAACTACAGGGAGGATTAGTTGACTAAAAGGCCTAGAAATGAAGAGGTCAGAGAAAACACACCTCAAGGAAGAAGCTTTCTGTTTCAGGGGACTCAGAATGCCTGGGGCACGCTCAGAAAGCCCTGGGAAGCCCTCCCCACCCCCTCCCTGCACTCCCTGACCTTCAAGCCGTGCCTTGCTAAGCACTGAAGCAGTGCCAGGCCACAGAGCCATTCTGAAAGGAACTTTGTGCTGTGTTTTGTTTGTTTTGCTCCACAAATTTAAGGAAATTTCTGGCAAATCCGGTCTACAAATCTAATGAAATAGGTTCTTCTAAAATGAGCTCAATTGCTGGATTCTGAATGTTGTAGTTCCAGCCCTAGAAGCTGTGGCTGCTGCAGGAGGATTGCGAAGGAGTTTGAAGCCAGTCTGGGAGGCATATGTGAACAGGGAGCTCAGAAGATTCACTTACATACAAGCAGCAATGATTTGGAAAAGAAATCCAGAGATGGCACATGACACTACTCAAAATGTCCCAGTTCTTTAAAAAGAAAAAAAAGACGTGCAAAGAATGTAAAATGAATGTCCATTCATAAGGGAAAAGCAATGTTTGACACTTGCTTTGAGGAACATTTACTAGCCAAAAACTTTAAACCAACTACCTTAACATATTTTCAAACAATCAAATCATTTAAAAGATTCAAAGGAAGTAAAACAGAAATGATGAAATAAATAAAACAGAAAATTTAGAATTTAAAAGTATAATAACAACAGCAAATTTTGACCGGCAGCTTTGCAAAGGACATTTGAGCAGGGAAGGAAGAGAAGGGGAGGAGGAGAGGAAAGAGGATGGGAGGGGAGGGAGGGAAGGGGAGAGGAAAAGAAGGGGAATAGGAGAGGAGGACAAGAAGAGGAAGGGACGATGGAAGGAGGAAGAGGGGAGGGAGAGGAGGAAAGGCTGTGAACACAGTGTCGTTGAGGAAGTGGGAACATGGGTCCACAGAATACATACATTAAAACATCACAACATGCTGGGCAGTGGTGGCACACGCCTTTAATCTGGGGGGCAGAGGCAGGCGGATCTCTGTGAGTTCGAGGCCAGCCTAGTCTACAGAGCTAGTTCCAGGCCAGCCTAGTCTACAGAGCGAGTTCCAAGACAGCCAGAGCTGTTACAGAGAGAAACTCCATCTTGGAAAAAAGAAAAAGAAAGAAAAGACAAGACACAAACAAACAAACAAATCACAACATATGTATGCAAACTGACAACAATCAGTTTAAAAACACAATACCAAGCTATAGTAATCAAGACTGTATGGTTGTGGTAGAAGTATCACATATAGGTATGATGAAAATTAAAACACACACACACACACACACACACACACAAAAAACCACATCACACCTGCTGAGATTTAAAAAGTGAGCTGAAAAGATGGCTCAACAATTAGGGCCACCAGTTTCTCTTCAAAGGACTCGTTTGAGGCCCAGCACCTACACTGTGACACACAACCACCTGTAACTCTAGTTCTAGTGGATCTGAAGCCCTCTCCCCACCCGACCCCCGCCTCCAGATGCCCATACATACATGTATATATAAATTTGAAAATTCTAGGGCTGGAGAGATGGCTCAGTGGTTAAGAGCATTGCCTGCTCTTCCAAAGGTCCTGAGTTCAATTCCCAGCAACCACATGGTGGCTCACAACCATCTGTAAAGAGGTCTGGCGCCCTCTTCTGGCCTTCAGGCATACAGACAGAATATTGTATACATAATAAATAAATAAATATTAAAAAAAGAAAATTCTAGGCCAGGTATCATTGGATTCCTTTCTTAATTCTTTTATTTTTTAAAAGTTTCTTTTTAGGGGCTGGAGAGATGGCTTGGTAATTAAGAGCATTTGTTGCTCTTGCCGACGGCATGGCTTCTATTCCCAGCACACTTATGGCAGCTTACAGCCATCTGTAAGTGCAGGTCCAGCTCTGATGTCCTCTTCTGACCTTTGTGAGTACCGGGCAAACACGAGGTGCACAAACATGCATGCAGGCAAAATACACACATAAAACAAATAAATCCAAAATTTATTAAAATTAAAGTATCTTTGTTGGGTTATTTTATGCTGATCACCAACATCCATCTTCCTGTTTCCTGACTATGGATACGATATGACCAGCAGTCTCAAGTCCTGCCCCTAAGGCTGAGAGCTGCCTTTTCCCACCATGCCAGACTGAACCCTCACACTGTGAGCTGAGGTCAACTCTGCCTCCCTTCATTTCTTCTTGGCACATATTCACTGCAGCAACAGTAACTAATATGCTTTCTTTCCACAGTATCCATCCCAACTCCCAACACTGTGCATCGAAACAGCCAACACTTGTTCTTGGTCCTAGCCCTGCCCTCCTTCTGATATGCCTCTGTGCCTCCCTCCCTTCCTTCCTCAGATCTTTTCAGAAAAATCCTTGCTTGTGAAGTCTTCTCTGGCCAGAGTATAATCCATGATGCCTCGTTTCTGCTTTCTTTTAGTGCCTGCCTCCACCCCAGCACACACACACACACATATATAATCATATATATAACATCACATTGTGTATCACCCGCTTTCCTTGCTGGAAGGTAAACTTCAAGAGCACAGGGATTTTTCTGTCATCTGAACCTACAGTGCAGCATCTCACTCCTGTTATCTAATAAACGTGTGCTCCATTAAATAGTGAAAGCCCTGAATGTTGCTGGGAACCAATCAGCTGAGCAGAGTCACACCTCACACACCAGCTGACCATCCTATCTAGACAGCAACTAGTGAATGAAAATTCCCTGACAAGACCAAGGTCACAGTTACTGACTCCCTTACTAGGAATGGAGAGATAGCTCAGTGGTTAAGAGCACTGTCTGCTAGTCCAGATGACCCAGCTTCAATTCCCAGCATCCCATGGCAGCTCACAACTGTCAGTAATTCCAGATCCAGGGAAGTTGACACTCTCACAAGATGAATGTATAGGCAAAATACCAATGAACATAAAAATAAATAAATCATTTTTAAAGTAATGACTCCATACTAACACAATCCAGGTGGGAGAGCTCATTTCCTGTTTGTTTTTATAGTTCCTGTAAGGATCTGTTCTGTCTCTTTAAGAGACAAGCCACACCCACTCCTTCCCCCATCTGCTGATCTTCAGCTTCCAGCCAGGGTTCTCTCTTTTCTATCTCCCTCTCAAAGAGGCAGCTTCTGCCTCTCCCCGCTTCTCCCCTTCCCCTATTCTGTCTTTCTCTTCTCTCTCTTTCTCTCTCTCTGCTCTCTTCTCCCCTTCTCCCTTCCCCCTCCATAGCCCCTGAATAAATATCCAATCTCATTCTGCATGGTGTGCCTATCCGTGTCTCTGTCTCTTCCCTGCCACTGCATGTCTCCCTGCCCTGGACCAGCCACTGCTCAGGGACTGGCTGCTCTCAGGGCCTGCTGCCTGCTGCCACATGGCCCGTTGCCACGGCTTGGGGACCTGCAGCGATTCTGCTGCTTGCCCCAGCGAGGATCCTGCAGAATTTTTAATTTTTCCATTACAGTTCCCTCTCTTTCCAGATATACTTTGTATGGATATTATATGTTTAGCCCTGGGTACATAATGGTAATCTCATAGAGACAGAACCTCCATGTTTATGGTATGGTTTTCTCAAGTCTACTTTGAGTCATCAGAGCACTGTCAAAAATCTAAGATCTTTTTCTTTTCTTTTTTTTCCCCTCTTTTTTTTTTTTTTTTTTTTTTTTTTTTTNGGATTTTGGTTTCGTTTGTTTGGTTTTTTGAGACTAGGTTTCTTTGTAGCTTTGGTACCTGTCCAGGAACTAGCACTTGTAGACCAGGCTGGCCTTGAACTCACAGAGATCCCCGCCCCCCTCTGATGGGATTAAAGGTGTGTGCCACCACCGCCCACCTGGCTCCAGTTACTTTTCTTATCTCTGTGACAAAATACCTAAGGAGAAGCAGATTCTGGAAGGGCAGGCTTATTTGGGTTCCCAGTTTGAGAGGAACCCATCAGAGTGGGGAAGATTTGGTGAATGGGAAGTACTCCCTTCTCACCAGGACCAACCAAGTAGTTGTGTTTTGTGTGTGTATGGTATGTGTGTTTTTTGTGTGTGGTATATGTGTGTTGTGGGCAAGCGTGCCATGGTGCACATGTGGAAGTCAGAGGCAGGCACTTTTCCCACTGAGACATCTCACCAGATCCTTTGTCCCTTTTTCTTCAGCCTGGGTTCCAGCAATCGAGATGGGTCTTCTCTCCTCAGTAAGAGCTTTACAGAATCACACAGACACCAGAGCTGTGCCTCCTAAGTGACTCCAAAGCCAGTTGATCTGATAAAAAAGAGCAACCATTAAAAGGGCACTACAGAAAGCAGAATTAAGCATCATAAACATTCTGAAGCTGGTTTGGAGGAAATTTTCAGCAGTGCAGTTCCATCCTCAGAACTTGAAAGCACGGCACAAATTAGCAGCATTAATATCTGACGAATGCTTTCACTTTATGTTTTATGCTTCAGCTACAAATCCCAGGGCTAAAACTTTAAAGGGACTTTGTATCAATTATATTACAGAAATATTTTGATGTCATTGTGGTTCATGCTGATGACTATTGTCTGTTTCCAAAAGGAGCCTATTTCAGAATTTCCTGGCATCGCAGCAGATCTTAGCCAGAGGGATTTCTCTAATGGATAGAAAAGTTTTAGTTTTTGCTCAGTGAGTATGACAGTCAAGATAATTCCCACCACATTCTTCTTATTGTGAAAATACAGCCCCACGCCTGAATGATGGCTCGAGGTAGAGATAGAGAGGGGATGCTGAACCCCATCTGCAGGCATCTTCTAGTGTCTGTCATGACAATCCCAGCTACTCACCATTTCAACTGACAAATGGAAATACAACCTTGAGATTTTTTTTTTTTTTGAGACAGGGTTTCTCTGTGTAGCTTTGGAACTGTCGTGGAACTCGAGCTATAGGCCAGGCTGTCTCTGCCTCCCGAGTGTTGGAATTAAAGGCCTTTGCCACCACCACCTGATTTACTTTGAGAAAAATTTTAAGGATCTTTCATAAAAAATATTCCTCAAATAAAGTTTAAACAAGCATAGCTTACCACTGACTTATTTCCTCATGGAGAGCAGGTTGAATTATGAGCATGTTTTCTAAATGTCTAAAGCCACGACAGAATCAGCAAGATCAAGCCTTACACCTCTAATCCCAGCCCTCGGAAAGCAGAAGCAGGGCACCTCAAGTTCAGGCCAGCCTGGGATACAGAATGATGCTCTCTCAAAAGAACTGCTGCTTTTAAAAAAAAATCAGAGCCAGGCGGTGGTGGCTCACACCTTTAATCCCAGTACTTGGGGGCAGAGGTGGATCTCTGAGTTCAAGGCCAGCCTGGTCTACAAGAACTAGTTCCGGGGCAGGCACCAACCAAAGCTACACAGAGAAACCCTGTCTTAAAAAAATCAGCACATTTACAGAACAAATCCGAGGGTTTTTTTTTTTTTTGACAATAAACAAAAACAAAAAACAAACACACAAACAAAAAACAAAAACTCCAACTTTTTGAGCTTGGAGCCTTCAAAAAGACTGTACTAAAACTGTGTAGAATTCACAAAGAGAAATGGAAATGAGTTATAAATCCATATCCCTGTAAAATCCTGCAGATCTAAAATCACTAAAGAAGCTGGGCGGTGGTGGCACACACCTTTTATCTCAGCACTTGGGAGGCAGAGGCAGGCAGATCTCTGAGTTCAAGGAAAGCCTGGTCTACAGAGTGAGTTCCAGGACAGCCAGAGCTATTACACAGAGAAACCCTGTCTCTACAAAACAAAAATAAACACATACATACATACATACATACATACATACATACATACATACATATTCCTGGCTGTCTCCTGAGTGAAATACAGATCATGCATGTATGTGTGGCTGGTGGAGGTACTTTTCTTCCCAGTGAATTCGTGTCAGATATTTATAGTCTTTGACACTTTTCCTGGGGAGACACAATACAAATGTCTATTCACCCCAGAGAGGGAACTGACAACAGATCAAAGGAACAATACCACAGAAGTCCAATTTAGTGACTCACTCACTGAGTTTATTGGGGTTAGTTACAGGAGTGTAGGTGAGGGGTGACTTAAAGGAGCAGGAAGGACTCAAAGACAGCTTCATCTCTGAGCCCGTACGGGTGTGAGTGACAGACAGCTCATGAAAGCTGGAACCCTGACTCTCTGTACGACCTGCAGGCAGCTCCACAGGTTAGTAAATCTCTTCCAGGCAGATCAGTTGTTGTGAGCCTCCTGAATAATCCTTTGCTGATCACACACTGTTGTGGAGGAAGGGGCCTTATCCATCTCATCAGGTTCTTGGCATTTTTTAGTTGTTTACTTTCAGAGTTTTAACAAGCCAACCGTCGGAATGTCCTGAGTCTTTAGGATGTACTGAATCTTTTTTTTTTTTCATGGGTAGGAGGAGTATGAAACATGGTTTCTCTGTGTAGCCCTGGCTATTCTGGAACTAGCTCTTGTGGACCAAGCTGGCCTCAAACTCACAGAGATCCGCCTGCCTCTGCCTCCTGAATGCTGGGATTAAAGCCATATACCATCATGCCTGGCATGCAAACATACTTTTTAGAAAACTCTTCTGAGGTTAGACAGAAGGCTCAGTGGTTAAGAGCACTGACTGCTCTTGCAGAAGGCTCTGGTTCAATTCCCAGCACCCATTTGGTGGCTCACAACCATCTATATTCCAGTTCTAGAAGATTTGACACCCTATTCTGGCTTCTGTGGGCACTGCATGCACATGGTGCACCTACATACACTCAGGCACACACACACACACAATTCTTTAAAAATCCTTCATAAGAAAAAACACAAAAATATGCTATACAGAGATGCAAACGTCCCTTCGTGACTTAAACTGTTTATTTATTTTTTCATGCAGGAACTAATGGTGTCCTCCATCCCTAGCCCAAAGCTGTGTTTTGATCAGTGTTTTACCCAAGTCTGGTGATACGTGCCCTTCATTGTAAACAGCCACCTTCTTGCTGCTCCCCTTCTTCCACAAAGCCACTGGATGATTTTTAAAAAAAATTTTTAAGTCAGTGCACTTAAGCTCTGAGCCATTTCTCTAGCACCCACTGGAAGATTGTTATTTCTCCGAGTTCAGCTGAGACCCACCACTCTGCCTGCTCACAAGCTTTTCTTCCTGCCTGAGGAGCTCTGCTTGCACTGGCTTGACTACTGTCAATCTTTCACTAAGACTCACTGTGTGAAGCTTCCTATTTGGCTCACTTCCTCCAATCCAGGAACATCAGCTTCCTTTGCACAACTCCCACAGTGTTGTGTCTCCTATTCTGTTACCTGGCATAATGTGTGGGCTCACCTCTCTCTCCTACCAGGTTCCCTGAGGGTCCTTGAAAGCAAGGACCATGTTTCATGATTATAGTTTTGTCACTCGGTGCAGTGCCCGACTAGATGCTCATAAATGGTGAATGAAATACGAATGCTCCCACTTTCTACATTTATTTCACTTTTTTTGCTTGTTTATTTTTGTTTTGTGTAGTCCTGGCTGTCCTGGAACTCACTCTTTAGCTGGCCTCAAACTCAGAGATCTGCTTGCTTCTGCCTCAGGAGTGCTAGGATTAAAGGTAGGGTACCACCGCTGACTGGCTATTCTTTAACTGTTTCAACATTTTTCTCATTCTCTTTGTATTAATGACCTCAAACTAGAGATAAATTGATGGCGAGGAAATCAGGAAACAACTTCGGCTTTAAAATCTGTACAACGGAGTTAGTGACACGGCTGTGTTTAAAACTGGCAAGGCTGGGGACAAGACGAAGTGCTAGAGCAGAGCACATGCCTAGCAAACATGAGGGCTTGGGTTTGAGCACTAGTACTTCAGAAACAGCCAACAAGATAGTCAGGTGTGGTGGAGCATGCCTTAAATCTCAGCACTGGGGAGGTGGAGGCAGGAAGAGTTCGATGAGTCTGAAACCAGGCTAGCCTGGTCTATATAGTGAGGTCTGGAACACACAGGGCTATGCAGTGAGACCCTGTCTCAAATAAATAACTAAATAAGATACGTGTCGTAAAAAAAATAAATGAATGCCTTATTGATGGGGAGCTAGCTCATTTAATGGCCCAACGGCTAGGGAGGCTGAGGCCGAGGGGTCACTTCAAGAGGTCAAAACTAGCCTGAGCAATGTAATTAGACCCCTTCATATAAGGTACGTGCAAGCTTTACTCCTGCAGAGGAGAATGCTGGATAAACAAAACCGTGGTTTCCTTTGAGAATTACTTTGCAGTTCTTTATAAAATGAGGTACAGACCTAAGAAAGGACCAGAAATATAACTCCTACATATTCATCCCAAAAGAAAACAAGTTCACAAAAACTTATGCAGTGTTATTAAATGAGATAAAATAATATTTAATATTTCCATCAAGAGAAAAGTAAATTGTAGTGTATCTCACTTGATCTTACTCAAAAGACCAAGAGGTCACATTTCAGTCTAACCATATTGTGGAATACTACTTAGCAGCAGATCATGTCCAACTATTGACACACACAACGTAACTGAATCTCAAAAACCACTATGCAAAATAAAAACTCAGGGGGTAAAAAAAGCACATAAATTGTATGGTACTGCTTAGCTATACTGGACAATGTTTTTATAGAAATCAGGCTACTGAGAACAGGGGGTGGCAGGTGAGGGAGGGTATAGCACTTTTCTATCATACACCACGCCTTGGTCTCAATTCCCTAGCACTCTTGTTTGTTTAAAGAAAGAAACGGGGCTGGAGAGATGGCTCAGCAGTTATAAGCACTGACTGCTCTTCCAAAGGACCTAGGCTCAATTCCCAGCAACCACATGGCAGCTCATAAATGTGTGTAAATCCAGTCCCTGGGTAATCTGACACCTTCACACCATTGCACATAAAATAAAATTAAAATTAAATTAGAAAAGAAAAAAGGAAATAAGAATATTTATGATTCTGGAGGGAGAGTGGATTGAGTAGAAGGGAAGTTCCAGGGATCTTGAGGGGGGCAACATTCTGTATCTTGTCTGCAGGGATTGATGATGAAGCATGGTGTTGGTGCACATACAGTCTGCACATTAGCATAAGGATTTCTGGAACTCTCAACCACATATATGCATGTGCATATACATGAAGGAATGCTAACATGCACACACACACTGAATTCAACTATCTACAGTAGACAAAAAAGACAATGGGTAAAGTCTAAAACAATGGACCAGTGCAAGAACATGTTTAATTCTGGTATTCATTTTGGTATACTATTTTTATATTTTATTTTTTTGGTTTTTCGAGACAGGGTTTCTCTGTGTAGCTTTAGAGCCTGTCCTGGAACTAGCTCTTGTAGACCAGGCTGGCCTTGAACTCACAGAGATCCGCCTGCCTCTGCCTCCAAGGGCTGGGATTAAAGGCAAGTGCCACCACCACCTGTCTATTTTTATTTTTTTTAACTCTTACGCTAATTTTTATTACACTCAACCCAAATCAACTAAGGTAAGTAATATGTTAAAAAAACAGAAAAATTGCTGGGTAGTGGTGGCACACACCTGTATTTCTGGCACATGGGAGGCAGAGGCAGGCAGATCTCTGAGTTCGAGGCCAGCCTAGTCTACAAAACGAGTTCCAGGACAGCCAGGGCTGTTACACAGAGAAACCCTGTCTTGAAAAACTAAACAAACAAAAACAGAAGAATTGGGCCAGATGTGGTGATGCCCATCTTTAACCTTAGTACCCAGGAAGTAGAAGCAGTCAGATCTCTGTGAATTCCAGGCCAGTCAAAACAACATAATGAAAGTCTATCTCAAAATCAAATAAAAATTGCTTTAGGAATAATTAAAAATTAATTAAAAGTAACTGAATATAATTTGGTCACAGATATTAAAATTTGTTCAAATATTTGAAGCCTCTTTTTAAAGTCCTGGCTAATTAGATCATTCACGTTTTTCTTTTTTTCTTTTTTTAACCAGGAAAGTTTGAGAAAAATGTAGTACCAGGCATGCATTTAATCAGGCCTCTGGAATCTCATCCATTTAGCTGAATGTTTTACAGGATATTTATCTTTCTGCCTTTTTAAAATACATTTTTATTGATATTTATTGAGTTCTATATTTTTCTCTGCTCCCCTCCCTGCCTCTCCCCTCCCTCCTTCAGTCTTCCCCAAGGTCCCTATGCTCCCAATTTACTCAGGAAATCTTGTCTTTTTCTACTTTCTACTTCCCATGTAGGTTAGATCTATGTAAGTCTCTCTTAGTGTCCACATTGTTGTCTAAGGTCTCTGGGATTGTGGTTTGTAGGCTGGTTTTCTTTGCTTTATGTTTAAAAACCATCTATGAGTGAGTACATGTGATAATTGTCTTTCTGTGTCTGGGTTACCTCACTCAAAATAATGTTTTCTAGCTCCATCCATTTTCCTGCAAAATTCAAGCTGTCGTTAGTTTTTTCTGCTGTGTAGGACTCCATTGTGTAAATGAACCACACTTTGCTTATCCATTCTTTGGTCGAGGGGCATTTCGGTTGTTTCCAGGTTCTGGCTATGACAAACAAAGCTGCTGTGAACATAGTTGAGCACACGTCCTTGTGGCAAGGTCAGGTTTTTCATATACTCTGAGATTGGGCTTCAATGCCACTACTTAATCTTCATGGTAGATGTTTATCTTCTAGCATGAATTAATGCGACTTCAAACAACCAAACCTAACCATGCTGGACACATCATTCAATGGATTTTACTGAGTTTATTACTAGGGTCTATTAGTAGGATTTGATGGTTTTCAGAATTCATAAATATTCAAGGATGAGACTTGGAATCAAGCAGAAGCTGAGGGAAGCGAGACAGTTCAGTCAGGTCATCTCATTGTCAACTCTGTCTCAAAGGTACTCAATTCAGAGTAAAGATCAGAGACATACACTCTAGCTTTCTGGCTGTCTTAGCACACTCAAGAGTCTGGCTTCTTGTCTTGCTGACAATGGGGTTACCTTCCCACGAATGTATACTAGGGACAGGATTAATATCTCCAAAATTAAATGGGGGACCATTGCATAAGAGGAATGGACCCAAATACCGATTATAAAAACGATATCCATCTCTCAAAGTCCTCGTTTATTATTGGAATGTTTTCAACATCCAATGCGGCCATGACAGTAAATTGACTATCTAATGACTAGGAATGCTGCTTCCAGTATAACGACGGATTAAATATCCTCATCTACAATCAGGGAGGGGAGGAAAAGAGAGGAGGGTAATGGGAGTGAAAATGATCAAACTGTGTTATCTCACACACGCCTGTCTGAAAATGTCAAAATGAAACCTAGTACATTGTACAATAAATAAACTCTAAACAAAACGTGAGTGTCTTCACAGGCTCAGACTACAGGTATGAGAGGAAAGAAAGTCAAAACGAAGTTTTTGGTGAGACAGTGTCTCACTATATTGCTCTTGCCTCAGCCTTCCAAATACTGGGATTGTGAGCATGCGTACACGCCTGGCTTGCCAAAATTTTAACCCACCAATAGTGCGTTGTTTAATACATCAGGAGAAAAACTTGAAAAACACACAAACAGTTTTTGTTCACACGTAATTATTTGCCTACGCGACTTAACAGACCCTACAATAACTAAAACTCACTGCGCCGCAGAACGTAAATGACTTCTGGCCAAGAGTTAAAACGACAGATTCCTACGTCACGTGACGCACCGGCTTGCGTCGGCACGCTCCGGAAGTAGCGTCCCGCTGGACGCCCGCAAGGGCCCCATTCCGGGCTGCCTAACATAATGCCTGTGTGACTTTGGGTTAGCCGGCTGCCTTTAGTCTGCGCAGGAGAGAGCGTCCTCACAACGTCTCCAGGTTATCATGGTGACGCGGTTCTCTCGAAGAGCCTCGCAGGCTCGGCGTTTTTCTTCAGGCGGTGCCGCGGGCAGCCCGCGGTCCTTGTAAGTGCGCGCGGCCCCGCCCCCTTCCTTTCGGCCGCGGTAGCCATCTTTCAGGTTGGTGGGTGCGCGTGGCTCTCGCGGCTTTCGCTCCTCACAAGCTGCACGAGGGGCTCAGCCCGCGGAGGCTGCGTGTTAGGGTCGTGGGGGGACTGTCTGGAGGCCATTGGCTTGGGTGGTGGGTGGCGGGGGCTTTTATCCGGAGAAGCCGGGCCTGGCTCAGTCCTGGTCTCCGGGCGTCCGCCTAACCCTAGACATGAGCATGTGGTGTCGGGTTGAGACTTAAAAGTCGCAGTGGGTCTTAACGACACGTGGGTGTGTGCAAGCCTGGACTTCGCTCTGGCGAGGAGGGTTCCCGCCGAGTCAGCCCGGGCAGTGATGTGAAGGAGACTCCCTCGGGATGCGTGAAACAGTCCGCACTTTGCACGTTTGGCCCTAAGAGCGTAGGAAGGGACGGTAACCTTACGGCTGCTACACCGATGCTTCTAACACATGCTTTGGGGGTTCCCTTGTGGCTCGGAATAATGACCAGGAGTAGCAGGCAGTTATGCACTGAATAACTGGAGTTGGAGTTACTAAACCTATTGGCTTGTTGGAAAACAAGATCTGGTTCTAAATATCTGTAGTAGGTAAGATGGTGCTAAACTAGCTGCCGATTGAGTACTCTCCCTGTGCCCAGAGCCGCCTGGGGCTCTTTACAGATGTTATTTAGTATGAATGTTTGTAAAAATGGAAAATCATTTACAGTTAGGAATGTCAACTTAAGTAGGTCTTTATAGCAGGAATCGTCGAGGCTTGCCTTAGATTTATCAGGGATCTAATTCATTAGCAAATGGAAGTGTAGAATTAAGAGATTTTTTTTGACAGGAAATTAAGTTAATAAGGATTAACTTATTAACAAAGTGCAGGCTTGAATTCTGTAGTTTCCAACCACAAAATTATCCTGGAGTTGGGGGTTGCAGTGTCCTTGGCCTTTTAGACTGTTCTACTTGTAGATGCGTTGTATTCATTGGTGTGTACTATATTCTAGTAGGAAGGTGTTTTGGCTTGAATTTTAACATCCAGTCCTGGTTTTAGTGACAGAATTTTATTAAAAAAAAACTATTTAATCCGTGAGGAATCATGAACACCCATTTACAATCCTAGTGTTCCAGCTTTTTGTATTGTTGATTGATGAATTTTAAGGGGATAGTTAAACATTAAATAGTTTTTGACTGCTAACTTTTCTGGTTTCAGTAACTCGCCAAAATGACAAACACAAAGGGAAAGAGGAGGGGCACTCGCTATATGTTCTCTAGGCCCTTTAGGAAACATGGTAAGTGATATTTGTGTTTTTGTTTACCTCTGGTTAACAGCATGCACCTGTATTCTGTCCTAAGCGAAAGGATGGATCTCATAGTCTGATAATTCTGTGGTGTGCAGGCTTAACCCTGGAAGGAAGTATTTGACTGGCAGTGCTTATAATGAGAAATTGTCCACTATACTTAATGGAACTGCCAAAGATTTGTGCTTTGTGTTTATAACTAGTACAGTTATGGAAGTGCTCCTTGTAGCTCTAAACATTATCTTGATGCTTTTTTTTTTTGTAGGAGTTGTTCCTTTGGCCACGTACATGCGAATCTACAAGAAGGGGGATATTGTAGACATCAAGGTAAATTAGAGTGGAGGAAAAGTCAATATTAGAAGTGAGGGACTAGGCCAGGCGGTGGTTGCATAAGCCTTTAATCCCAGCATTAGAAAGGCAGAAGCAGGCAGGTCTCGACTTTAAAATTAGTTGAGAATGTAGGCAGCCTTTGTGGCACATGCCTTTAATCCCAGCACTCAAATGGGTCTCTTGAGTTTGAGGTCAGCCAGAGCAACATAGAAATGTTGTCTCAAAAAAAAAGTGCTGAATCATGCTTTTATTCTCAAGATGCAGAGGCAGGCAAATTTCTTGAGTTAAAACAGCTGGGGCTATACAGTTAGACCATATAAAAAGATAATAAAATTTGCCGTTATAGTTACTTTTTATGAAAATCCCAGTGAAGGCTACACTCTGAATAGTTGGGTATGTTCTGGCACTCTGGAACTTAATGATGATTGTCAATTTGATTGCTTGATGCAAAGTGAAAACCACATTTCACCGGCTCTGAGAGTTCTTGAGTTGCCATTTAAAGGGAGCCTTGCTTACTTAAAAGGATTTGAAAAGAGGAATTGCTGTTAAAAAAAAATACTTTGTCTCTTGACTAGGGAATGGGCACTGTTCAAAAAGGAATGCCCCATAAATGTTACCATGGCAAAACCGGAAGAGTCTACAATGTCACCCAGCATGCTGTGGGCATCATTGTAAACAAGCAAGTTAAGTAAGTAGAATGCTATTTGTGACTAAGTAGTCGGTTACACACCCCCTTTCACTTTGCCAATTGGACTTAATGTCTTCATTGGCCATTCAAGTGGGGCAAAGGAAATAACCTTTTAAAACTCAGGCAAACTTAAGTGTTTGTCTTGTAACCTGTCAGGGGATACATTGACATTTCACTGAGAAGTCTGTAGTGGTTGGTGCTGGTGTGTCGGTAGTATTAAAAGTTCATCACAAGCTTCATTAGCCTGGTTTGGTTTCAGACCATGCTCATCAGAAAAGTAGCTTTAAAATGTGCTCTCGGCCTCTTCCTTTGGGTGAGAGTGATTGACAAGCGTGAGTGTGGTGCTAACTTACTGTAGGAATAGTGTACATTTCTGTTGGGTTTTGAATGAAGTACTTAGAAACTTATTGGTCTTTTAAGGGGCAAGATTCTTGCCAAGAGAATTAATGTGCGGATTGAACACATCAAGCACTCAAAGAGCAGAGACAGCTTCCTGAAGCGGGTGAAGGAGAACGACCAGAAGAAAAAGGAAGCCAAAGAGAAGGGCACCTGGGTTCAGCTGAAGCGCCAGGTGAGAGTCCTACCAGGCAGTGTTTATTGCTATTAATATTGAGGAATCTTTAAAACTTTGCTCCCTTTATTTTGTTAATAAGTGTAAGAATTGGTTCTAAAGAGCACTTTAAAATTTCCCATAATCCTTTTCTTTCTTTACCAGCCTGCTCCACCCAGAGAAGCACACTTTGTGAGGACTAATGGGAAGGAGCCTGAGCTGCTGGAGCCCATTCCCTACGAATTCATGGCCTGATGTAAAAAAAGAAATAAAAGACCTGGACTATAAAGGTTTTTTCTTAAGTTGAAGTGTGGTATCTTCTCCCTGAAAGAAAATGCTGGTTCACTGTGTCTTTCCTATTCAGATTTTACTAATTTTTTCCTGCTAATTGACACAACTTAGTGTACTGGAAATACATTCTTGATTAGAAAAATACCAAGGTAGTTGTTGTAAATCACTGGGTGGGGTGGGGTAGTTTTCATAGAAAAACTAGTGAATCTGTCAGGCGTGCCGGTGCAATGCCTTGCACTTGGAGGCTGAGGCAGGAGGGTCTTCAAGATCATCTTGAAGCAGAGAGATGACACTGTCCAAAGTGAGGGGCTGTCAGCATTCTGTGTATGTAGATCTGGTATGGTTCCCTCCTGGTGAAAATGGTGTCTTACAGCTGTATCTTCCAAAGGGGCAAACAAAACTTAAGCCAGAAGGAAGAGGGGTGGAAGTATGGCCTGGACAGTTTGCACTGGTTGGTGAGAAAAGCCCTGGTCCTTTTCCTAACCTTCCCCCAAAGCCTCACTTCTTTACAGTGGGTGGTATTGTGAGTCTAGCACAGATTTTTGAAGGGTCACATTTAAAGCCACGGCAGTCACCTTATGAATAGCGAAGTCATATGTCTTTGACCCCATTTTAAATATTTGAAGTGGCCCAGTCTCCCCATCTTTGGAACAAAATCTAGCCCTTGCCAGGTCTGGTCAGTTTCATGTTCTTTGTTCTTGGGTCTATCCAGGTTCACCCTTCGGTGCTCTTCATGTTGTATTTAGTGTCTTGGTCTTGAGCTTTTCTCAAGTCCATTTAGGTGATACTCCTAGTCCAGACTCTTAAGTGCCAGTCAGCTATGGACTTAGTTTTCTTTTGAGTGCAGAATAGCTTCCCGGCATCCAAATCTAAAATACTTCAAAATGTAGCTGCCAGCTGGCTGCTGTGTGACCTCATACCTTACTAGGTATGCATGGGGCCAAATGTTAGGGTGCACGTGTAGTGCTAGTTGGTTAAAGAAAGAAGGTATTAGATGAAATTTAAGGTCTTTGTGGCATCGGGAAGGTGCAGACTGATGGACAGAAGCCCAAACAGCCATACAAAGGCATATTTATTATTAGAAAATATTTCCTCATGTCAAGGTCCCTAAATATAATTTACATGTCACATACCCCTCTGACTAGTCCTTATGTATCATTTGCAATGCACAGTAATACAATTCTCAGGTGTGCCTGAGGTGTTTTGTGACCTATGCTCCCTAAGTAAAAAATTCTGTGGATCATGGAAAACAATCTCTTTTTCCACAAAGATTCTTCAAGGTCAAAGCACTTATAAAAAATAGCTGTTCTAATATCTACCTAGGATACAGTGACTGCTAAATTACAAGCAAGCAGCTATATAGTCAGAATTAGTACGTAATGATACTCTGATCCAAAACAAAACCCACAGTTCTCAGATGTTTCTCTCACAACCAGGGCTTTGGTTTCCTGCAGCAGGAACACAAAAGATAAGGGTTTTGCCGGAGCTCCATAAGAGTTCTTGGCTGCTGTATTTGCTATTAAGGTAAGGTAAGTGAGTGTACCAGCTAGGTGGTGGCCATCCACCTGCTTGCAAGCAACATTGGTTGGCAGCCCTGGGCAAGGCAAGGCAGGGTCTTGACCATCTGTTCTACAGCTTATATCAGAGGCCACCATCCTCTGAATAACTTACAGCCCTCTGCCTTTTTTATTGATAATAGTACCAAGGTCTTTTTTTCACCCTTTGAGACAGTATCTCTGTAGTTTCAGAGCATGTCCTGGAACTTGCTCTTTAGACCAGTCTGGCCTTAAACTCAGATATTCACCTGCCTCTGCTTCCCAAGTGCTGGGATTAAAGGCATGCACCACCACAGCCTGGCTAGTACCAAGGTTTCTTATGATCTGTTAGGGTATACTATTTCATCCTCATGACAGCTTGTGATATGTAAGGACTGCTGTGTTTTATGTATAAGTTAACTGCAAGAATCTGGCAGAGCTGAGCTTTGACACCAGTATGCACCCAAATTTCTTCAACACAGCTTGACTCCAGTAGCCAATGTGTATGAGTGGCCTTTAAAAAAATATGGTGCACGCCTTTAATCTCAGCACTAGGGAGGCAGAGGCAGGTGGATCTTTTGAGTTCGAGGCCAGTCTGGTCTACAGAGTGAGTTCCATGACAGCCAGGACTATTAGCACAGAAATCCTGTCTCAACAAAACAAAAAAAGATAGGAGACTTTTGGGTTTTTTGAGAGGGTTTTTCTGTGTAGCGCTGATGGTTTTAGAAATCACTTTGTAGGCCAAGCTGGCCTTGAATTTACAGAGATCTACCTCCTGAGCATTGGGATTTAATCCTTTAAGGTGTGTACCACCGCAGCCTGGCCAAACTGGTCTTATTTTCTGCTATGGTTTCTGGTTACCATTTTGCTCATGAATACTTGGGATTGTTTGCTCCTCCTGTGATGTGGGAAAAACTGGAGATCTAAGACAGTGCTTTGTTCTTTCCCAGAAAGTCTTGTAGTCTTCACTATCTGTTGCCTTTTCAATAACATGGCACAGGGCCAGAATGAATGATTCCTGAAGGTCCTTGTGCCCTTACAGTCTATGATTCATGATTTACCCAGACCCAAAGAGAAACCTCCATTCACAAGGGGTAATGAAGTTGACAATGGGGAAAGGAACAACCACCAGCAGAAGTGATTACAGTGGTTTTTAACCTTCCTAATGCTGTAGCCCCTCAGTACAGTCCAACCATAAAATGACTTCTTTACTATTGGTATGAGTCACAAATACCTGATGTGCAACCCCCCCCCCCCCCCCCCCCCCCGTTGCAGCCCAAAGGTTGAGAACCATTGGATTAGGGGCACTGTTATTTTAAGGACACCTATTCAGAAAATTCTTTCCATTTGGTGTACCGCAGAACAATTTCCTAAAACACAAATGGCTAAGCTGTGAATATGCATAATCTTTAAAGATAGGCTTCTTCACAGTTCTGGGTAAAAGAATGTGATTTGCTGATGGCTTGAGTTATTTTTGGCAAGTGATTAACAAGGGGACTGGAGAGATGGCTTTATGGTTAAGAGTACTGGCTGCTCTGGCAGAGGACCAGGTTTAGTTCTCAGCACCCACTCACATGGTGACACAGGACCATCTGTAGGTCTAGTCCCAGGGGATCCAAAACCCTATTCTGGCCACTGAGTATTCTGTGCAAAAGTGGTGCACATCTATAACATGGAGAAAAAAAATACAAGTTAGAGAGAGATGGCTTGGTGGTTCAGAGTATGTACTGTTCTGCCAGAGCACCTAAGTTCAGTTCCTAGCACCTGCATAGGCAGCTTGCAACTGCCTCTAACTCCAGCGCCAAGGGGATCTGACCTGAACACATACATAAATTAAAAAAGAATGTATCTTTAAAAACTGAAAAAAAGCTGGGCTTTCCTGGCTGATGCCTTTAATACAATATACAGTACCATCACTGGAGGGCTAGATCAGGCAGATCTCTGAATTCGAAGACCACCCTGGTCTACAGAACTAGTTCCAAAACAGCCAGGGCCACACAGAGAAACCCTGTGCTGAGAAAACAAAAATAGCTTTCTCTAAGGGCTTTTACCAGCATCAGTTATTAAGACTTTGCAAATTTGGCAGGAGAAAATGTAAATTAGTTTGGATTTTGTTTACTTTCATTTTTGCAATTTGTGGGGGGTGGGGCTGACTTTCTGACCATTATTGAAGTGACTTAATTCTTTAGATGATTTTTGGTTTTATGGTTTTGAATATCATATCCAGACAGTGACCCTGACCTACAAAGCCCTCCACCTGAGCTGTGGCTTTCTGACATTTTCATTGTGTGACTTCTAGCCCAGAGCTTGGATTTGGTTACTCTTTCCTTCCTTGCTGTGCCTTTGATATGCCAAGCACACCCTTCTTCAAAGCTTTTGTGCTTGGTGTTTCCTTTGCTGGAAAGCTTGTCCTACATAGATGCCTGTGGTCTGTCCCCTTACCATATTCAACCTCTGCCCAGATTTTTGTCAAGACTGTTTCTTAATGGCCTATAAAAATAGCGAGCTCCTTTATCATTTTTGTTCCTTTATAGTATTTATGACCCAATATATCTTTTTTGGGGGAAGTCTGAGTTTTTAATCAACTTATCATTTGCAGCTTCCTATGAAGGTCAGGAATACTTACTGCAGTCAACAGAGGGCAAAGAAGACCCAGCCACACAACCCTGGAAGGTAGAGAAGACAAGCCAAAGGGCACTAGGAACGGAAAGGAGGACACAAAGGACAATTGGTGGCAGGACTCTTGTTCCTGGCCACCCCACCCCCATAGTTTATTGAGGATGCAGTGAGACAGCAGTGGATTGGACAGTAATGGAGTGGCCTGCAACTTTCTGCCCTCGCATGGTCACTGACTCTTCTGATCCTGGCATCTTGTCCCTTTCTACTTGCCATTTCCTTGACTTCAGACAAGCAGCAGCCTTTCCTGTCCCTTCCCGGTCCCTTTTGTAGCTAAATCTGGTTGCTCACTACAAATCTGGCTTCCACCTCCACCATTCTGATGCAACTATCCACAGAGGCTGCCAAAATCCTGCTAGTTAGCACATTTGGAGACTTTTTTCAAATTAATTTTTTTATCTCCTTAATACTTGGCAGACCAACCAGTTTTCTTTCCCCACCACAGGTTGCTTTCTTTGGTTCTCTAGCTATCGTACCAGTCACCTATGAACCTGCTGAAAATGCAGACCACACAGGGCACAGCACACGCCTTTAGTCCCAGGTCTCGGGAGGCAGAGGCAGGTGGATCTCTGAGATTGAGGCCTGCCTGGTCTACAGAGTGAATTCCAGGACATCTAGGGTTACACAGTTGGACATCTAGGGTTACACAGTTGAGACCCTTTCTCAAAAATAAAAATCCTACCAAAAACAAACAAAACAACAAGGAATAATGCTTGAGATTGAATTCTGGCCTACACACACACACACACACAGGAAATAATATTTGAAATTTTTTTTCTTTGCTTTTTTTTTTTTTTTTTTTTTATTTTCGAGACAGGGTTTCTCTGTAGTTTTTGGTGACTGTCCTGGAACTAGCTCTTGTAGACCAGACTGGCCTCGAACTCACAGAGATCCGCCTGCCTCTGCCTCCCGAGTGCTGGGATTAAAGGCGTGCACCACCACTGCCCAGCTGAAAATTTTTTTGTAAATGCAAGTATTTTATAGTTGATGAATTAAGTTGATTCTTTCACTACAGGGTGTCTGAAAACATGCAGGAGTGTCTGATATTCAGTTCTGGTACCACAGAGTAACTGTTCTCTTGTGGTTTGTACCAGCACCCATCACAGGGCCTTGCAAGGACTGGATCTTCAGTTATTCTAATGGATAAGTTGAGATAATGGAGTTGGTAGAGGGCAGAAGCCTGATTCCTGTCCTGGGGAGAAGCTCACAGGTACAGTCTCCAAAGCATCCTTAAGCTTAGTAGTCAGGGACTTTAGACACGGTGCAAAGCATTGGTTGACTACACGTATGAAAGGTAGGTGGAAATGGTCATGAACTAGAGTGGGCCCCTGGGCAAATCTCAATGAAGAGCTTGAGTTCACGGCTAGGAAAGAGTTAATAACTTGCCCAGCCGGTATTATTTGCTATTTGCAGATTCTGCCCTTCACACTCATTCTAGCCATCCACAGATTTGTGTAGTGTTTATGCCCACGCGTTCCTATTATCTTTATAAAAACCACTCAGCCTGTCTGTGTCACATTGGCTTAAAGCTTTTACCATAGCTTTACATAACTCTGGACACAAGAATGAAACAAAATAGAACCCAGGCAGCATCGATTCAGGAGAGCCTATTTATAATTCCCCAGCGTGGTGGCTTATTGTCTTCGCTGAAGGTTCAGCTTATTTTGTGTATCTGTAAATGTGAAGAGCTTTCCCAAGGAGAATAGAGACGCATTTCAAGCTCTTCCAAGCAAGGTGCACTGTAAATTCAACCTGGAGCGTAATAACCACCCGGACAGACCAGGCTGTAGAATCTTCCTTATTGAGTGTTTAAGGCAGGGGGTTGCCACCCCCTTGAGGGTCGAGAGGCCCCTTCACAAGGGTCGCATGTCAGATATCCTGCATACAGACATTTACATTACATTTACAATTCTTTACAGTAGTAAAATTAATAGTTATGAAGTAACAACAAAATAGTTTTATGGTTGATCACCTCAACATGAGGTAGCACTGGAAGGCTGAGAACGCTGCCTTAAACTGAGGGACAGGGAATGCAGTAAATGGAGTGAAGTGATAGCCTCAAGTTTAGAACAAGGCTTCCTCTGCTTTGTTTTGTTGTTGTTTTCTCTTGGACATTCTGCTAAGGGAGTTTGTGACAGATTGAATTATCCCCTGCTCAACCCCCATTCTCTGTTTCATTTTTCATGATGTTAATAGTGTCTCTATCCAGGAGGAATCACGATCACCCACGCCAGTCATGGCCGGCATGGCCGTCCCAACCTCCTTTGCCAGCTGTTTGGATCGTCGCTCTCCTTTGTTTTAACTTGCCTGCTCTTGCTATTAAGATAAGATTTTTCTTTTAGGCGGTGTCTCATGTAACCCAGGATGGCCTCTAACTTACTATTAGTCAAGGATAGCCTTGAATTTATGATCTCTTGCCTTTATTTCCTGAGTGCTGTTTGCTGAGCTAAGGGTAGAACCCAAGCTCCAGGGTGTACTAGGCAAAGGCTCTGCCACTGAGCTATGTCCCCACCCCCAAGAACCGTTTAATTTCATAGTTAAAGAGGGAAAGCAAGGCAGGCCTCCCCTCCCTCTCTATTTCTGGACTTGATGCTCCAGAAATCATCTTGTGTCCATCAGGGAGAGGCCAAGAGACTCCAAGAAACAACAGTCCAGCCTCCACAGAGCTCCACAGCCCTGGAAAGCAGCAGTGCTTCAGTGGCTCCTTAAACGGGTCTTGTATTCTTGGTGCCCAGGTTTTTCCTTCAGTTAGGGAGGAAAGTCCCGCTTCATGTCTCTGATTAAACTGAAAGGGAAAGATGACTACCTTGGGACAAGATTAAAATCAGTACCACTTAGCTATGGCAGTTCATCCCAGGCATTTCTTGGAGCATCTTTTTCCAAGAGCATAACAATAGATGTAAACAGGACTTTTGACTATTCCATTTCATACAGTGGAGTCAACATCCATCCATCCATCCAGTCATTCAGAAGGTCAGCCAAATGTGTGCGTGCACATGCCTGAGTTTCTTTGGGGGGAGGGTTGCCCCTTTAAATATCCCCACTTGTTGGGGAAAAGGGTAGGTAGGAATCCTCCCTGTGGAAACAGCAAACAAATATTCCAACTGTAATGACAGTTGAGACTGAGACTTCCAAGGGATCCTGAGAGGCTAAGATGGAGGTAGCAATGCTGGCAGGGATCCCACTGTGTCTTCAAGGGGGGGGGGCAAGTAAGCAGAGATACATCTATTCTAGCTGACCAGGAACCTTCTGTATTCTTTAGTTGAGAAAGAAGAGGAGTAGGGCAGGCAGGGAGACACCCAGGAATGTGAGCTGAAGAAACCAGTAATGTGAAGGGCGTGGTCAAGAGGGGTCGGTCAAAGGACCTGATTCGGGCGACTTGCTGAATGGAAGCACATCCGCTAGCATTTTTTAACAGCAAAACTAGACCCCATTCTGTCCCTTGCTACATGCTGGCCCTTCCCACTATGGCTTGCTGCTCTGTCCTTAAAGGGGTGGCACGTGATAACCCCTTCTTTTGAACGTATGCTGGCCTCGTGCTTTGCTTTGGTTGACAGAACGCATCAAAGGGGATGGGGTCTGCTGTAGAGCCGTTCAGCCTCCAAGGGCCCTGTCTGCTTCCACTCACTGTCTTGGAGCTCTGCTCAGCCACTCCGAGGACAAGCCTTGCCAACCGCCTGGAAGAGCCAGCAGTTAGCTGCCAGAGTGGGTCTGGTGGAGCAAGCCAGCCTCTCATTTCCCTAGGGTTCCTAAGTTCTCTGCTACCTCCTCAGAGAGCTTAATCAAGCTTGTCAAACTGCCCTAGATTAAGAACAGAAGTAAATGCTGCACTGAGCCATTCAGTTCTGTGTGGTTTGTCATGCCGTGCAAGCTGATAAGCCCGAGATAGAGAAAGGGAATGACTAAGGGTAGGGCTGTCGGAACCACAGGAGACTGCCAGGCTTCTGTCTCGTTATGGTGGGATCCAAGAACCAGCCATATTTATTATCTCCTGTGCCCCCTTCCTCCTACTCACACCCTCTATCCTAAATTCCACCAGTACCTTCCAGGAAACGCTTGAACAGTAAAGTAGATCCAGGAGCCAAGTGTGCAGGGTGGTATTTACCGGGGTCAATCAGGCCAGAATCAAGCTCCCTGAGTCTGAGTCAGTTCACCCTAGAACTGCATGCAGAAAAGGGACTGCCTGGGTTTGGATGCTGAGCTGCAGGCAACGACTGCCCCCTAAGGGAGGTCACAGGTAAGTGACTGCAATTACCTTGGTTGATACTGAATGAGTAAATTTATTTTTTTATTATTTACTTATTTATTTATAGATGTGCGTTTGAGACAGGGTCTTATGTAGTCCATGCTGACCTCGAACTCAAACCTTATTGTAGCCAAGGAGGACCTTGAACTTCTGACCCTCCTGTCTCCACCACCTAGAGTAGCAGGTGTGTATGCCAGCACACCCAGTTTACAGGGTGCTTAAGATCAAATCTAGAGTTCCTGTCAGCACTCTGACAATCAAAGGCACAAAAAATGGATCTCTTCTTCCCTTTGTCCCACAAACATCCAGTCAGTTGCCGCTTTTGCTCTTTCTGGAGGTTCAGCTCCATTCTCAGGTTCACGCTCCAGGCTAGTGGTCCAGGCTGACCGCCGCGGCAGCGGGTGCCATCAGGACCCGGCAGGCACAATTTGAACAGAGACTCCCTTGGGCTCCATCGCCTGGGACCCGCGCAACTGGGTGAGCTGAGCGCGTCAGGCAGCCAGGTGGTACGCACGCCCGCGGGTGACGGTCCCCTGCCCGCGCGACTCCCACCCCTCCAGGAAGGGGCGGGGAGTAGGAGGCGCTAAAGGCGGCCACCACACTCCCCGAGCTCTTTAAAAACCGAGAGCCGGGGACAACTCTGCTGGCCGCGCTGCATCCTGTGGCGCCCTGAGTTGCCGCGTGTCCAGTCGGCTATCCTGCAGCGCGGTCCCGGGACGCGCCCATGCGTCCACCAACCATGTCTGGGCACTTTCTGCTGGCTCCCATTCCCGAATCCTCCTCCGACTACCTCCTGCCCAAGGACATCAAACTGGCGGTGCTAGGCGCGGGTCGTGTAGGCAAAAGCGGTGAGTGGGGCAAGGGAGTGCGCTGCCCAACGACAGCAGGGGTCGGTCCCCACCCCCGGGGATGCGGGAAGACCACCGCCTGTCTTCTCTGACAATCCACTCCTGAGCTCTGGATGGGGTTGGCGGCTGTTGAGGGTCACTCCAGTCTCATCCGTCGTGTACCGTGGGGAAGTCAATTTCCCCCGGGAACTTGGGGAAACGTGTGCTGTTCCGGTGAGGGTGACCAACTTGACCCACTTCTTAAGTCGATTCCCCCCCCCCCCCACTTTTCAGCAATGATTGTGCGCTTCTTGACAAAGAGATTCATCGGCGACTACGAACCCAACACAGGTTAGATGGCTTCATGCTCCTTGATTTTTGTGCTTAAGTCAGTCTGTCCTCCCTCTCTCCTCTTTCTTTCGCTGATCCGAGCGTGGGAACTCAAATGCAAACTCCTCTTCGTTGTACAGGCAAACTGTATTCAAGACTCGTCTATGTGGAGGGGGACCAGCTATCTCTGCAGATCCAGGACACTCCGGGGGGTATCCAGGTAAGGGTTGTCAGTAGGGTGTGTAGTGTGTGTTGTGCAGCTGCATCTAACATTGAGGCGATTGCCTCTGGGTCCCAGGTGAGATGTTTCAGCATGTCAAATGTGCATTTAAATGTAGGCGGTGTGTGTGTGTGTGTGTGTGTGTGTGTGTGTGTGTGTGTGTGTGTGTGTAGGCTGTCTGTCACAGGTGAGCTGAGGGTTGGGATGTTGGATGCCCTCCAAGGGGGAAGGGAATAGTTGATCAGAACTAGTTTGCTTTTAAACACAACTTTTAATTACCTAGTTATTTTAAAGATTGTGTTTTTCTATGTAGCCCTGGCTGACCTATCACTTGCTTTGTAGATCAGGCCTGACTTGGATTTACTATAATCTTTGATGCCTCAGCCTCCCAAGTGTGGGGATTACAGGTTAAGGCACATTCCTCCCCATCAGCGGTCACCCTCAGCAATAGCTTCTTTTGCAGCTCTGGCTGATCATAATTGCCTGGGCTGCTTAGGCAGGTATGAACACTTTCAGAGAACATTCAGGAGCAATTTAAAGACAACAGCTCGGGGGTGGGGGTGGGGGGTGTAGGGATGTGTGGTGGTGATGGTGGTGGCTATAGCTGGGGATGTAGCCCAGTAGTAAGGACTTGCTCACAGGTCCAGGGTTCAAATCCTAGCCCCACATTAAAGGAGCAAGCAGTAGGTGGGATTCTGGAGGGAAAGCGCCTGCTTCCTGGCCAGGGCTGCCAAAAAGGTTAGGGGCTGTTTCTCCAAGCCAGTAATTGCAATCAGATAACCTCTTGGCCATCAGTCAAGAATGCAACTTAATTAATTGCTCAGTCCTTCTGGGGAGGAAAGGTCGCATGGAAGAGTGCAGAGAAAGGAATTTGTTTCTGTAACATTCTCAAGAAGATGACTGCTAAAAATATTTTTTTATGGGCTTGGAAATAGATATTTATGTTGGATTGTTTCCAGAGTTTTGTTTGTTATGAATTAGTTCCCTGAAAACTAAGCCATTCTGGTCTGTAATTATTCCTAAGTCATCAGAGTTCATTGGAGACTGTGTGTTGAGTGGGGGGTGGAGTGGGGGGGGTGTTAGATGTGTACATCCATACCAGCTCTGAAAAGAATCCAGGGCAAGCCTTGATCTGAGGCTTTCTCTGTAAAAGCCTCTGGCAGAAATGAGGCCTGACAACTGCATTTAGCCATGACTCCACCTGGTCAGTGTTCCCTCGAGGGTTACTCCAGTGTCATGTTTGAGCATCTTTGACCAGGTTACATTTTGTTCTTCCTCAGGCCCAAGACAACCTCAGTCAAACGGTGGATTCCCTGTCCAAGTGCGTGCAGTGGGCCGAGGGCTTTCTGCTGGTCTATTCCATCACAGACTATGAGAGCTACCAGTCCATTCGGCCCCTTTACCAGAATATCCGGAAGGTCCACCCTGATGGGAAAGCCCCTGTCATCATTGTGGGCAACAAAGCAGACCTTTTGCATGCCCGGCAGGTGCAGACACAGGACGGTCTTCAGCTAGCCAATGAGCTAGGCAGTCTCTTCCTTGAAATTTCCACTAGTGAAAACTACGAAGATGTCTGTGACGTGTTTCAACATCTCTGCAAAGAAGTGAGCAAGCTGCACAGCCTCAGTGGGGAGCGGAGGAGGGCCTCCATCATCCCCCGGCCTCGCTCCCCCAACATGCAGGACTTGAAGAGGCGCTTCAGGCAGGCCCTGTCCTCCAAAGTAAAAGCCCCCTCTGCTCTGGGTTGAGCCATCTCAGATAGACTGGTGACTTTTATTATTATTATTACTATTAAGCATTTGTGCAGCCACAAAGACTGGGCCTTTCCCCTTTAAAACATATTGAGAGTTTATTTTTATAATATTTTATTGGCTTTCAAGTGTATGTGTATTTCTGAAAATTCAAACAATGATTGACTAGAAGTTGGATTTTTTTTTTTTTACTGTAACTGTTAGCCACTTTTCCATTAAAGGCAAAATGGCAGTACGATTCCTTGTTTTCTGAATGTCTTTTTATAGAAATCTTGCTTGCACCAGAGCCCAGAAGTGCTCAGTGCTTGGCCTTGAGTCTGAACTCTGATTGGTGTCTTGCAGTAGGGAGGGGGTCATGCCGAGGGAGTCAGCTGTGGGAGAGAAGTATGCAGAGGAGGGAAGGGGGTTTGAATAGCTACAGGATGTTCTTAATTGAGGCAGTTCTTCACAGTCAGGAAGTTAACGCTGGTTTTACAGCACAGGGATACATTGGGAACTGATGGCCAAATGCTACAAACTCCCATTATTACTTACTTATCTGTACAAATGACAGTGTAGCCTCTGCAAGAAATATTTTAGAAAACAAAAGCCCAGCTAGATGCTGGCACATGCCTGGGACTCTAGCGCCCAGAAGTCTGGGGCAGAAGCGCAAGTGTCAGACCCAGCCTGAACCACGTATGGAAATTCTGTCCTAACACCAGCATCAGGGGATGGAGCTCAGTGGTAAAAGGCAGGTTTAGTGGGCTCACGGTCCTTGGTTTGATTCCCCAGTACTGTCCAGAGAGGAAAGAAAATCCCCTTTCCCAGGACTATGTCAGTAAGTGAGCCTTACCCTCCGAGAGTGGCCTCCATTCTCCTCCCTGCCTGCATCCCAGACCCTCTGCTGTATATGGAAATAAAATGGCCAAAGACGACTTTCTTGGGCTCACAATCCAGAGTGGGAGAGCAGTGCGACATGATTTCCCCGTGAAGACACTACATGGCTGAGGGGCACTGACTGCCTGGTGAACACGGTCCAAAGCGGTTGGCATCTCCTTCAACATCACGGTGGAAGCCTCTGGGAAAAAGTATAATTAACGTTTGAGGTGTATCTTGTTTGGAGAGGTATTGGGAGTTGAACCCAGGGCCTTACACTCCAGCGCTGAGCTTCACCCCGCCTTTAGGAAGAAGCTGACTTGCTGGGCATTATGGACACTGAGTGAAACAAGGAGGGGGGAGTACAGGGGTTGAAGGGTGAGCCTGAGCTTTAGCGCCTCAGGACCCTGTTAGGGAGAACCTGGCCTCAGCTTCAGCTTTCAAGGCACTGGGAAACTCAAGTGTATACAGGTCTTGAAATGCAGAGTTTAGATCAGTAAGTGGAACACTAACTTACAGATGGAGTCTAATAAGGCTCACGGGACACTGCTGGAGGATGAGACTCCTCTCCAGGCACCGGCACTGTCAGTACTGTGAGATCCACCTGCCTCTGCTTCTGCCTCTGCCTCCCAAGGGCTAGGATTAAAGGCAGGTGCCACCACTGCCCAGCCACATCTTTTTTGTTATGATTTTATTTATTTATATTTATTATGTATACAATATTCTGTCTGTGTGTATGACTGTAGGCCAGAAGAGGGCACCAGATCTCATTACAGATGGTTGTGAGCCACCATGTGGTTGCTGGAAATAGAACTCAGGACCTTTGGAAGAGCAGGCAATGCTCTTAACCGCTGAGCCATCTCTCCAGCCTCCTGTTATGATTTATTTTATTTATTATATATACAGTATTCTGTCTGCAAGTTTGCCTGAATGCCAGAAGAGAGCATCAGATATCACTTTAGAAGATTGTGAACCATCATGTGGTTGCTGAGAACTGAACTCATAACCTCTGGAAGAGCAGTCACTGCTCTTAACCTCCGGGTCCCTGTGTAACATCTTTCTAATTTTTCATACCAGAACAACCTCACCAATAGCAGTTCTTGGTCGATTTTCATGACTGAACACACTTAACTGGGTCCCAGTTACCTATGGCAGACAATATAAATGAGCAATATCATGAAGATTATGTATCATCTCTCCAGTTTCATTATCTTCTCTCTCCAACACACAGACATGCACATGTATACACATACACACACATGTATATATACACACACACTCCACCTGACAATTGACACAATAGGACTGTGTGCCATCCTCAATATAGCCCAGGCTCTTCCTATAGGACTATGTGCATTCTCAGTATACCCCAGACTCTTCCCATAGGACGGTGTGCATTCTCAGTATACCCCAGACTCTTCCCATAGGACGGTGTGCATTCTCAGTATACCCCAGACTCTTCCAATAGGACTGTGTGCATTCTCAGTATACCCCAGGCTCTTCCAATAGGACTGTGTGCATTCTCAGTATACCCCAGGCTCTTCCAATAGGACTGTGTGCATTCTCAGTATACCCCAGGCTCTTCCAATAGGACTGTGTGCATTCTCAGTATACCCCAGGCTCTTCCATGCTCCCCACCTTGGCACAAACTCTCCCTAGGCCTCACATACTTTCACCTAGTCCTTATCTAAGTAAGCACTAACTAACTTTTCTTCCAAGACTCATGTCACATGCTGCATGTTAGAGTCAGCTCTGGGATGCCTTTTTTGGGTCCTTATCCGAGCTCTATCACCCAGTGGCACCAGAAACACTCATGTTAGAAAGAATGCCCCCAAGGGCAGTAACCGTATTTTATGACTTAGTATACTGGCTTCATTCTGCTAATACCCACAGACTAGGAGGTATTTTGTTTTCATTTGTCTTGTCTTGTTTCGACATGGTCTCTTGTAACCCAAGCGAGTCTTGAATTCCATGTGTACCTTGCTTGATCCTTCTGCTCCCACCTCTAGAGTACTGGGATGTTGTGGAATAGAATATTTGTCTAACTATGTAAAGACGTGTTGCTGTTTTACCTTGCCTGCCTAAGGCACCTGATCGATCTAATGAAAAGCTGAACGGCCAATAGCTAGGCAGAGGAGGGAGAGGCAGGGTTGGTGGGCAGAGAGAAAAGGGGAGTCAGCCAGCCAGCCAGCCAGCTGGGTACCAGCCAGCCAGATGTGGAAGAAGCAGGAAAGCAGGATGGATAATACGTGGATGAGGTAAACAAGCCTCGGGCAGCACACAGATGAATAGCTATGAGTTTATTTAAGCTAAAGAAAGAAAAAAATGTTAGCTAGAGACAAGCTAAGGTTGAGCATTTGTGATTAGTCTCCGTGTCATGAACCGGGGGCTGGCGGTCTAAGAAAGCCATGTACACTGGGGTTACAGGCATGCACCAACACACCCAGGTTTTTGCAGGGCTGGAGACTAAACCCAGGGCTCACTGTAAGAGAGCACTCTACCAGCTGAGGTATGTCCCCAGCCGGGAATAATCATTTTTCAATAAACATACAACAGAATGAATGTTCTATTCTCTTATTCGTGCCAAAGGAAAATCATAGGAAATTATAAGGAAGCGAATGAGGACACCTGCAAAACAAGGACGGAAGGTGTTTTAAATGACTTTTACTAAGCAAAAAGCAGACAGTTCAGCAGCTGGAGACGCAGCCCGCGACATCACTGTGCCAAGATGCTGGGGAAAATCATCTTCAAAGGAAGAAAGGCTGGTTTCACTCACCAGTTCAGGGCTTCAGTGCATGGCCACTTGGCTTTTTTTTTTTTTTTTTTTTTTTTTGTTTTTCGAGACAGGGTTTCTCTGTGGCTTTGGAGCCTGTCCTGGAACTAGCTCTGTAGACCAGGCTGGTCTCGAACTCACAGAGATCCGCCTGCCTCTGCCTCCCAAGTGCTGGGATTAAAGGCCTCAAACTCACAGAGATCCGCCTGCCTCTGCCTCCCTAGTGCTGGGATTAAAGGCGTGCGCCACCATCGCCCAGCCACTTGGCCCATTTTCTTGGGCTTGCATGGAGACAGAATGTAATAGCAGGAACCTATGGGACTGCAGAGCTTCGGGGTGTGTTGTTGCTGGCAAGCAGTGAGGGAGAAGAAAGGGGGCTGGAGTCCCATGATACCTTTCAAGGACACAGCCCCAGTGATCTAACTTCCCCGTTAGACTCCAGTTCCTAAAGTTTCCATGATGGTAGGCAGCCAAGGTTTTGACACGGGACTGTGATAACATTCTAGATCCAGTCCATAACACAGGCCATTACTCTTCCACCCAAGCATGCCTCTTCCCAGACCTGCAATATCAAAGAAAGTCAAGAAAATGAAACAGTTCGTGTCTAAGCGAGTATGTAAACAGGATCTGGTAGTACAGGCCTACAGTATCAGCTCCCGGGGAGGCCAAGGCAGGAGAACTGTCAGTTCAAGGTCAGCCTGGCCAACTTACTCTCAAAATAAAAAGTAAAAGGAGAGCTGGGGATACAGCTGGGTTGTAGAGTGTTTACCCAGCATGTGTCATAGTGGGAGGGGACAGGTTCTAAACACTGAAAAATGTTACTTAGAATCCTTTCATCTTTGGAAACATAGTTTAATTCCTCCATTGGGTTTCACCACCTCTGAACAAAGGTGACTGTTCCCATTGTTACATGGTTCAGCTTCTTCCTTATGTGTCTTAGCTTGTGCATTGTAGACTCAGGAACAGCTGAGTCTCTGATCATCGCCATGACTACAGCCAGTTCAGATCACTGCCTGGTGTCAGGGCCCCTTCTGCTAGCAACGATCTAAGATCAGACACCCGATTAGGATATTTTCAATAAGAAAGCCAAGCAACAGGTTTGGCTCACAGGGCTCAAAAGATGATTCCCAGGGCAGTTTCAAACAGAGTCCTGGGCTCCGTGCACTCAGCCAGGCTGATGGGCTAAGGGGAGGGTGTAACGCCATATATTTCTGCCCACTGCATCACAAGTAGCAGATTCCCTAGGACCCCAAGGCTTCCACAAGTGGATTCGGTTCCCCAGAAATGACAACAGGAAAACAGATTGACCACTCTTACAGAGCTTAATGGCTGGTCGTCCCTGTCCCAGCCTCATGCTGATTGGTGGCCTGGTCCCCTGGGGCTCATAATGTTTAGAGAGTATCTAGGAAGCTCCTGGGATGGTTGTCTTGGAGATGGAGGATATAAGCACGGCATTCATGAGGAAGTGGGGAGCTGTTGGATCTGTGTGTTAGGAAGAAAATCTGAGGATTTGGACTCAGTTGGGCCATCAAGAGGAAGCTTGCTCACTCTAAGCCAACCCCACAAAAATGAAGGGAGAAGAGGCACAAAAAAAAAAATCCAAACGCCAT